GATGTGGATTATTCAGATGTATCATGAGTTGCTTCAACGGAAGGAGATTCAACATATCAGAAATGAGCTCATTGTGTGACATATTGAGAACATTACAAGGAGAAGTTCAAAGGTTACTTTTAGGTCAGCAGGAGACACCTCGTCGGATCTTCAGACGGGAGAGATGAACCTTAACTTTGTAGTGGGTCTGAGGAGCTTGATGGAGACGAAAATTCTGCAATGGGATCCAATACCTATCTATGAGGAGGAGGTGTCGATGAGAGTAACGCAACTTGCTATAGATTTCATCCCGGAATTGAGTTTTCCTCACATTTATTGCTCAAGCACCGCACGTTGGGCACAAGAACCAGAAGGAGAAGATTTCGAATAGAAGGACTCGAGAGTTGCATTGTTGGAATCCACATCTATATGCGGCTCCCTATTAGGATGTGCCAAAAGAAGATGGTTATCTATTCCACTAGAATGTGTGTGGAGAGACTATACTGACATGATCGACCTATCAGAAGACCTACCGTCGTACCCTGAGAACCAGAAGCTTCGACAGGTGAGGTCGAAGTTTCCCCAAACCCTATAAACTGACGCGGGACTCATGGGGGACCGGCTGGGCGTAGAGCCAGCTCGGCTAGACCAGCCTGTCCTCTTGGAGTGGGGGCCCACTGTCCCCTCCTTCCTCCCTTTTTCTTTCCTTTTTTCTCCCTTCTCTTTCTTTCCTTCCTTCATCTTCCTTTTGTCTTCCTAGGTCTTTTTCTAATTTAAATCATTTACTAAAAGCCTAAATCTTGATTTTATTCTCCTTCCTTAACTTAAATCTTTTCCTAAAATATGAAATTTGATTTTTATTTTCCTTTCCTATTTTAAAAGCCTTTCCTAAAATCTAAAATCTGATTTTTATGTTCTTTATTTTAAATGTTCCCTAAAATAGGTCATATCACTTTATAAATAGGATAGAATGTGCTTTGAGTTAGGTGCTTGTGCTATGAAATATGAATTCAGTTTTGTCTGAGTATTTTCCATCTTGAGGGTTGTATCTGACGCCCAGGTAATGCTTCGATTGTTCTTCGTCTGAGGTGGTGATCGTCTCCACGGGTCCGGGTGATGTTTCAGTTGTAGCTTGACCCCAACGAGATATTTATCTCTTTGTCCATCCTCCTGGCTATTGTCCTACTTCTTCCACAGCGGTCTCACCTCTCTTACATTCACCGCAGCCGCCAATCCAGCCGTCGTCATGCACCTCTCTAGCTGCGGTTTGACGGCATTACCATTGCCACCCTTGCTGCCACCACCCAGAAAAATAAGGATATATTGTTTTCTGCAGTTTCAGCCACCCCCATCGACTTTTCCTCCAACGCCCTTGTTGCCCTCACTGTCCCGGCCCTTCACCTTCGCTGCTGCAGCAAGCACCTTCGCTTTGTTGTTTTCTTGCTGCTTAACAGCCCCAAACAGCAACCGACTACTGTTCTGACCGCCACCCCAAGCTGACTTGTTGTTCCAACGGTTGTCCAGCAACCTACGTCCATGTCGTCACCCGCAGACTTCTTTTATAGTTTATGTTGTCATGTTTGTTTGTCGTTTATTTCTTACTTTCCTGTATCGTGTTTGTAAGATATTTGAAATTCAGAAATAATATTCATATTTTTTATGTGGTTTGGATAAACTCTGATATCACATTTCCCGCAATATATTGAAACTTAACATCACGACTTTAAAAATCCATATAAATAAAGTTAAGGGTTCTCCCGATCCGAAGTATTTAAGCTTCCATTTGGAGATACAAAAACGTAAATCCTCTTTATTGCTTTAATAAGCACTAGGGTTATCTTATACAAATTGGAAAACCAGTATTTCTATATATTAGCGTTGAAGTAATCCAACTATCTCATTCATACCATTGTTTTGCCTTGTCATAAGGTTATGCCTTTACTAGACTGTGTGCTATCTCGTTTGAATAGAATTTTTGTATAAATCTCCTTTTATGTTGAATACGGAACACAAACTAGCACTAATTAAAAGTGTTCTTAAATATCACACTGGACATGTAGTTAACTATAAGGGCGTGTGCTCATGAAAACTTAGCCATCCACAATCTTTAACTATAAGAAAGTCTATCTAAAATTTTTTCGATCTATCTTCAATTGATTCTCATATTTAATAGAATATCTACGACTATGTATGATCCAACAATTTCTCCCTAAAAGACATGAGATTCACTACTTACAAGCAGATAGAATAAAACAATTTTGACTTCATCCTATGTTAAGGCATTCCAAAGAGAGCTAAAACTTTGAGGATCATACGAAAGCTATAGTCAAATTTTCAGAAAGAAAAAAAAAATTGGTTGGATGAGGTGAACATGGATCTAAAATGGTTTATAAAATGATTTGCAATATCTTGGGAGTAAAAGCAATGTTTTACAAGGCAAGAGGCAAAATCTAGAATTCATATGCTTTTACTTAGCGAGACAAGGCGTAAGCCTCAATGTAGATTGACGCGTAAGCCTCAAAATAGAAGAATTAAAGACTCATAAAAATAAACATAATTCATAAATTAATATAGGAAAATGAAACCCTGGATGTAAACATAATTCATATATTAATATCATGAATTGCATTATTCTCTGCATCAAATTAAAGTTATATATAATTATATACTATTATTTACTATCCCTTGCATTTAAGTGAATATCACGGGAGCTAATTTGCGATGTGGAGAAGAAAGCAGTTTGTCTGCAAAAATGACTGACAAACTTGTATGCGGCGTGGATAAGAAAGTAGCTCGTCTGTGGTGTGGAGAAGAAGATTATTGAAGCTCGGTAGGGACTCTATCAAAACTGAAGGGGTACACTTGAACGAACTTGAACAATGTCAAAAGGGCTTGGGCCTACACCAATCGGGAGATAGAGTGCGATGTTCATAACGACAATGATTGGGAGACGAAGTGCGGATCTCAAAACGACAATGATCGGGAGATGAAGGGCGGCACTTGGGATGACAACGTTTGGAGAAAATGTGTGGTGGTCAGGACGACAATCATAAATTGTGCTTATGATAGTAACTAAATAGTGTCTTAGACGCGCCCTAAACATGCCTCGGACAACATAAGACGTAACTGCATTGAGATTTATGCCTTAAAAAGTGGTAAGGCTAACCTGCAGGGAATCGAGGCATGCCTGAGCCTCGAACGGTTTTGTAAACAATGAGTAAAGAAAAAAGCTATTACAATCCAAAATCAATTGGATGGGGCCCTTTCTCCTATAAGCACTGCCAACTTTAAGTAATTTAGATGGGTTTCTTTCATTGTTCAAGAATCAACAATTTGAGAAATATGCCCCTATAAAGTTGTTTTTTTTTTCTCTATGATACTGGATAAAGTTTCACTCTAAGTTGAGCATTCTCATCAAACTCAAAAGGAAAGAGATGCAGAGAGAGCCATCTTCTGCCTTAATTTTGAAAGATTCAAGATTTAATTATCAAAATGAAAAAGATTAAAGAATTATTTCATTGTTTCAAGTATCTTTAAAAGAGCTCTTTCAACCGCCCAACAAAATAATCATCCCAAATAAATCCGAAAGAGTTCCTGCACTCCATAATCATTCATTTGATATTGTTATTTAATGAACACGAGCGATTATTATGTCCAAAAATCATAGATATGACTGGCGGTATTTAGGTAGTATTGGTGGTATTTTACAGTGTAACAACACCAATACTATCAAAATACCATCAAATTCGGACGCATCCACACCTTTCTCATTCGGACATAATAATTTTCATGGAAGACAAAGTACTGATGGATTCAGAAGTTTAGTAAAGTTGGACAATGATCATAGAGAATTCTACTTCAAGAAAATTGTTGTGATCAAGACAGGGACTTCTTAATCAAAGGAGATGAGGAAATGATCAATCATTGGTAAGTTTAATGAAATTTATGATTGGAGCAACGTAAATGTTTTCTTTTTTAAATGTCAATCAAGTAAGGTAAATTTCACAAACCAATTAAAAATAGTCTAAAGAGAGGGAATAATTAAAGCCATCGTAAGAATGCATGAGACGTGCCATTTAATACACATTCGGAGAAATTTTATCAAAAATGACTTTCAAATTTAGGTCCAATGAACCGAAGGCAGTGTGGGATGAGAGGTCAAGGGTTCCACAACATTTAAAGAAATGAAAATAACATTTACAAAGTAAATGGAAGTGATGATAAAAAAGTTCCCACCATAAATAACAACAACATGAGTACTGAGAACATCTAAGTTGTCACATCTAAGTTGTCCAATCTGCGACTAAGTAATCACCAATTTGTTTGAGAATAGAAGGATTGGGGAAGAAATTTGTCTATCTCCTAAGTGCAATAGATTCATTAGTGTAAGCCATCCCCCCACCCCCCCCCCCCAAAAAAAAAAAAAAAAAAAAAAAATCAGCATACCAAAGTATTTGTCAACACATAAGAACTCATAAAGTGTCCCACCCACAAGGGCTACTACTCAAAACTGGACCAAATTTTTATTGAATACAGACAGAATAGAAGTCTAGATCATTGCTATAAAGGTATCCACGGTGTTTTTCACCTATAAATTTTCTATGTAATTCTACTATGATGCTATTTCTCTATTGCATACCTTTAACTCACCCTCAATTCAGAACTAGACTTAAATTCCTCTGACCACCTGCCAGCTAAATGTTTAAATCAATTGCCACAGAATTAGAAACAGAGAGTCCAAAACCTATAAATTCTAGTTGTAATTATACTGATGAACCAATTTTACAGCATCAATAATGATCCTCTTCTAAGCTCATCGGGAAGTAAAAATTTTATGCAGGATCAATTTCTTTCTGAATTGTTTTTTCGTAGCTCGATTCTGCTCGTTCTTCTCTATTCAAAACAGTTCATCATGGTTTCCTAATTCATTTTTTTGTGAGATTATTGTATCTTTTCCTTCGGATATAGCATATAACTCACACACAAACACAAAACGAAATACAGAGAAACGCTTGTCTTACCGAGATAGTGTTTGCCGAGTAGTTATTACGGATCGGAACATTGATCGATAAAAGCATCATCCTGCAACGAGAAAGTAGTTTCGGCCAAAAATCAGAGAAAATATTTTTAAAACACAAACAAATAAAAAATATCAGAACAGAAGCAACAAGCCTGGAGATGGTGGGAGCGAAGTTGCTGCGGAGCTTTTCAAGGCCGTCGACGCATCCCGCCACAGTGAGCGCAAGGAATAGGAAGAAACCCCCCAAATGCCTGACAAATGCAATCATAACCTTCCAATCAATGATCAATTACTAATAAAATGCCGCACATAAAGAAGAAAAACGTAGCTAGGGTTCCGATCTGAAATCGATCGATCTACACACGTCCAGACATTGAGGGTCTCGTTATGCCAGGAAAACACGCTGAGAAGAGCATCAAGAAGCGGCCAGTCAGCGCGATAGTGATTGAGGATAAACTCGTTGTCCTTGAGGTAATCTGGCAGCTCATCGAACCCAACAAGACGGAGCTTCCTCCGGCTGGACCGCCGCCACCATAAAAGGACCCCCTCCGCCTTCTCCCCCTTCGCATCCTCCGCCGGCGATATGTCCATGCTGCTGAGCAGGCGACGGGAGGAGACCACACTCCTCAATCTCAGACGTAAAATGGAGAATCTGAGGTGGCCGAGAGGGCCAGCTTTATAAATTATTGCATAAAGTTCATAATTTTAAAAAATATTTTACGAATCAAATTGCAAATTTACATTTAGCGTGATATAATTTGCAAAAACTATTGACTTTATAGATTTAGAGATTAAAATTTGTAAATGACTGTAATAATGAATTTGAGTGTCCAAATCTGAGTATACATTGAATCAAAGCTACAAGAGAATTTTTTTAAGCTCTGGTTTGAATAGATTTGTAGATGCATGAATTTGATGAACCCTAATAATTGAGATGGTGATGAATGCAAATTTTTTATGTAAAATTTATTGCATTATGGAGAGATGAGTATTTTGTATGAAGTTTCAATTTTTTTTCTATGATGGTGGAGGTGTTGAGGAATTAGGATTAGATATCGAGTGAGGATTAAATTTAGGATTTTTGTGTTTCCATATGTGATCCTACGTGATTGCACAACTCGAGCAACAATATTCCTATTTTTCTAAAGAACTGTGTGTTAACCTAATCGTTTCACTTGCCTACTTCTATAATACTGGACTAAAACCTATTTTAACAATCTTAATGATTAAATTAGGAGTAAATTACAAGCAAAATGTTAGCCTATCAACTTCATGTACTTAATGAATTATTTACACTATATGGATAGTTTTAACATGCATGGGTTACCAGGTCAAGGGAGTGAGAATTTTAGTTCTTACTCATCGGAGATTGTTGGCATCAAACTTTTATGTAATATGTGTGGAATGTCTACTTGAATGCTTCAGGACTATATTTCACTTATTCACAGTCTTCCTTAGTCCAATATAACCATTGGGACTTTTTTGGTACATGTTTTAGAGTACGGAACAGTGGTTGGTATTGATTTAGCCTTACCCGGGTGATCTCGCCATTGGTTGATGTTAGTGTTGACACAATGCACATATGTTGCCCATTCTAACATTTAAAGGTCATGCCCCGTCCATTTGGAGCATCCCGTGATCAAAAGTAGTGAAATCCTCCCACGTGCGTTTTAGAGAAAGTTATAGTTTGGGTTGATGTACTCGCAAGGTGGTCTGAAATGACCAGTGATATTAAAATTTTCGATATAAAACATCCAGTTTTTTTATGAGGCCAGATTATTTATCGTCATATGATTCCCTTTTTTGAGTAAATCTTTATTTATGGCCACATGGATGATTTAGAGAGTAGATGAATCAGAAAGAAATGACATACAACAATTAAAACAATGAGAGAAAGAATGTGAAAACTTTCGTAAGTAAACTTCACGTGATAACCCAAGAGCGTATGTCCGAACGAGATCAGATAGAAAATGCCTTAGGAAACATGTATGCGAAGAAGACCCTACAAAAGCAAAGCACAACCAAAGAATTAAGTGTATGTGCTTATTATGGGGTCAAGAGCAACTCCCAAATTGACATATTCATTTGGTTAATTACATCTTTGGGGGTGCCCATTTTGATTAAAGAAATCTCACTTACACTTGTATAACGGCCAATAAAGGACAGTTATCTCGCAGGAGCTTCCTGATACCTTCAATGCTCACGCCGATCCATACTGGCAGAGAGTGAATCTCTCATGATCCCATATAGATAGCGGCTTATCGACGACTAGGGCTTATAAAATAATTGAGTTGGCAGCCATAGCCTATGTATATGCGGAGCCTGACCACATATTATTGCTTTATTGGATATGTTGTCCACCCAAAAACACTCGACATGTTCATTTATTTATTCACTTTACTTGTTTACCATGTGTTGGGTTATGCCTTTCCGCTTACTTGTGACAGTGGTTTGTCCAAGAATCATGTGAAATGTAATTTAAGCTATTTAAGGACCTAAAGTATTCTCTTTTTATAAAATCCTAATAATAAAAATTTGAGATAACAAATTTAAAATTAAGTTTAAAATATTTTGACTATTTAAAACCAGCATTTTACTTTTTTGCATAGCCCTCTGGCCGGTTTTAAAATAGATTACATGAAATTGACGTAACTCAAGTCATCTCTAATACAGCCTCCACATTAGAACTTGATGGATAATTGCACCATATTTGTATATCCCGATGATAAGCCCCCGTCCTTACCAAGCAAAATGATTTTACGTAGCTGGTTTGTCCAACACGCCTAGGATGTTAAAGGCTTCCCTGACCCATACTCCTTTGTGGGGTAGTTTTGTCTTTGTAGCCAGACCCCTATTATCTTTTCCATTCCAGTGTCAGTTTCGCAATTTATTTTGTGGGTATGAATCCCACCTATATACACTCTACCTCTAGAGGGTCACTGGACTTAGAGTTTCATTATCTTGACCTTGGGGATACTGAAGTCTCCTTGTACGACATAATTGATGGGTTGCTAATAAGGGATCTCAATCGGGTTTGATCGATTACCTTTACGACTAGGTACACTTTGGGTCATAATAGCTTGGGATGATATATATATAGTATCCCGGTCTGACTATCTTTACCCGATTAAGGTTCCTCTGTCTTTCAATTGATATACCCCTTTTAAGCCATGTTGGTTCTTTTGATATCATTTATATCATCACACATACTCTTTCTTACCAATAAGTTATAGTCTGTTTTGGATACAATGAATCACTCTCTTCCCTTATGGCTCGGTGTAGGATCCTATTTGAGATTATTTGGTTATTTAGTGGGCCTCGTTTGCCGAGTAGCTGTCGCCCGTAGTGGACACAGTGATTGCCCTATGGCCCGACATAGGCTACGGAGGCATCGAGATGTTTCTTACTTGATAACTATCATTTTGGTGACTTATCAACTGGTTGTCATGATAATGCAATTAAAGACCTCTATTATTGAGGGTATTATTGGGTATCTCACAATATATAATTAACCAAATGGATATGTCCCTTTGAGAGTGCTCTTGACCAAAAAAAAAAAAAAACATAACTTTTGGTTTTCCGTTATATATGTTACTTATATAAGGATTCTCTTTTGTGTTATTGTGTTTTGAGGTATTTTAATTTAATTATATAGGATTACCTTACATAAGCTCTCAATGTTTTTTTTTTGTCGTATACTCTCATATTTCCATTTTTGTTTTCAAGATCATTTTTAATGTTATGTACGATGACGATATATATAAAAATAGACAAACTAGTGACTCCGTGTTTAATTTAAAAGAATAAAAAATAGTTACAAAAAAGTTAAATTTAAAAGAATAAAAAATAGTTACAAAAAAATTCCTTTCACAGTAAAAGCAAATAATTAGATGCAAGTGTTTATAATGATTTTACTTCACTTACACCACTCCAAGTATACAATATGCTCGATCTTATTCTCCTAACTGATTCAAGAGAACACTCAATACAACTCAGAGCACTCTCATGTTCTTTTCCTTTGAAGTGCTCTGATCACTTTCAAACGATATTCGGTGACAGATTCACTTTAACATGTATTTTTCTCCGTGTTCCATGTCTTCCCCCTGGGTTCATTCTTTCCATCTTCTATCCACCTTTTTCAACCCATTTGTTGTGGAAATCACATGAATGAATTGTCAAAACCGTCTAATTGCTAATACGGGGACGACACTTCCAAGCTTGGCACCCTACTTCAAGTGTGTTCACATGCCCTAGCTCATGAATGGCACAGAACTTCCACTTCCTCTAGATAGTTTGACCTCAACCATTATAGCCCAATTACGACTTTGACAATCAACCACAACTTTGTTAGTCCCAGTATAATTATTATATCACCTAAATATAATTACTACAACTGAGATAGTCTCACGACTATTATTGTAGTATAACCACACCTATTACAGTCCTAACAACAATGATTTCAATATAATCTCACAACCCCATCTTCCACAGGCAAGACAAAGTGTGAACTCTGTACTATTGATTACAAAATATTTATTTTGACTAGGCGAGGCCCATTTTTTTCCCTTTCAAGGGTTTTTCACGTAAAAAAAATATGATGATGTATTTCACTTTTATCTATGTATGTGCTGAAAAATTACATTGAGTTGATATGTATGATTTTTCTATCATCTATAAATTTCTACTACGCAACATTTCTATTTTCTTTGCCATTATTTATAGAA